TCTGTGGGCGGGGCTCCCTCTCATCTGACCTCTGGTCCCAGTCTGTGGGCGGGGCTCCCTCTCACCTGACCTCTGGGCCCCTCTGTGGGCAGGGCTCCCTCTCACCTGACCTCTGGGCCTGTCTGTGGGCCTCTCACAAGGAGCCCTCCTGCCCCACACACTCATGCTGCATGAAGCAGGTATCCACTGTGGTCCAGGGGAGGCCAGCCCCTCCCTGGCCCATGTGGGCCGACCCCACCTCACCCTGATGCTCACCCCTACCTGAAGGGTGCTCTTGGCGCCCGCCTTGGCCCTCCAAGGGCTTCAGGGTCTTCTCCCCACCTCCTGCTGCTCACACTATGTGCTCTGCTCCCCTGGCCCAGCCTTGCCCGAGGGCCTCAGGAGAGAAGGCCGTCCCTGTGGTGACCTCCAGGAGGGCAGTCAGAGCCCTGCTGCCCCACCAGGGGTCATGCAGCGGGGGCCAGGGCGGGTCTGCAGGTGGGTCCATGCAGCCTGGACGTGCTCCCAGTGTGCAGCTCCCAGCCCTGTCCCCGGGGCCGAGTCTGCCCCTCAGTTGCCCCTGCCAGCACGGAGCAGGGAAGGCATGTCTCACAGCCTATGTGCTCCTCGTCCCCAGCCACGGCCCCCAACTGTCCTTCCTGGATCCACAGGCAGCTATGAGGAGGCCAGTGCTCCCCTGCAGGAAGCCCTGTGTCCCACGCACCCACCGGAGGCGGCCAGGGCCCGGAGGGGCCTGCTCCAGCTCAAGAAGGGAGATGTCCCAGCTGCCGTCCAGGACCTGCAGTGTCTGGCCGAGGCGGACGCCCAGGACCTGCGTTTCCTGCTGCAGCTCCTGGAGGCCTCGGAGCGGCACAGCGTGGCCCAGGTGTGCACAGATGCCCCGACAGCCACACCGGCCCTTCCACACCACACGGCTGAGACCCTGGGCCACCACAGGGCACAGTCCTCTCCCCACTGCTGGGTTGGTTCCAGCTGGATGGGGTGAGGTGTGAGTAGGAGGTACCGGGTCTTGCCCCGAAAACGGGCCTCTGCCCACCTTGGCACTACAGTTGCCCACCTTGGCACCACCTTGCCCACACACAATGCCGTAGCCTCTGGGCTTCTCTGCCTGGGGTGCAAAAGTACAGGTGACAGGGAAAGGGGAGGACCCTCCCAGAGTCGGGTGAGTCAGCAAGGGGCTTCGTCCAGGCCAGAAGGCCACCCCAGAGGCCAGCCAGGTCAGGGTCAGGAGGGCACCACAGGTGGGGAGGCCAGGACCACAGGCTTTGAGCTTTGGAGTCAGAGACCAAGGTCACACCCCAGCACCTGAGTGTGCTTCCCAGAGCTTCCTGAAAGGCTGGCCTGCAGCGCACCTTACTCCCCAGGTCCAGGGGAGCCGCGGAAGGCCACTGGGGCCAGCAGGTTCACTGGGAAGTGTCCTGTGATTTCTGTCCCTAGCTGACTGAAGAAGCAGGGTCAGTGGAGAGGAAGAGGCTTTAGGCAGCTTTCCAGTGTGGTCCTCAGCTCAGAAAGGAAACTGCCTGGGGGCGGCAGGCCTAGCCAGCAATGACCGCCAGTCTAGCAGTCCAGAAAGGAGGGTTAAGGCTCACCCAGGTGCCCCCAGGGCCAGGGATGAGTCCAGCACACAGAAAACCCAGTGCATGGACATCCAGGGGCCTGCACCATGCTAGCGCGAGCCACAGGGAGAGCCGAGGGAGGACAGGGGTGCAGCATGTTTGGTCCCCAACCTTGACTTTGGTGCAGGGACTGCAGCAAGGGGGAGCCAGTTTGTGCACAGCTGGCCCTCCCCTCCTGACCTTGGGAGGAGCTGCACCCAGGGCCTGGGCTGGGCAGAGGGCACTCGGCTCCTGTCCTAAGGTCCTGGCAGCCCCCAGCAGGTGGTGGGGCCAAGAAGCAGCCCCTGGAGGGCCCGCACAGGTGGTTCTGAAGATCACCAGAGGCCTGCCAGGAGGTGAGGCTATAAGGCTCCCGAGGGAGGACAGGAGATGCCGGTGTCCCAGCGAGAGTGGCAGCTGAGGAGGACACTTGCAGACACTGGCAGCCTGAGCTGGGCCGTGCCAATTCCAGGATAGGGAGTCGCAGGGAGGGCCCTTTACCCAGGCGCTGGCCCCCACCCAAGGCCAGCAGCCTCGGCTGGGCTGACCCTGTACTCCCTACGTCCCTGTGTGTCCTCTGCAGGCAGCAGCCCAGGAAGCCAGCACCCTCCTGGACACAGGGCACCCCAGGCGGGCGCTGGGCTACTGCTCGTTGGCTGTCCTGGCTGGTGGTGGCAGTACCCGCCACCTGCGTCTACGGGCTGCCTGCCTGGCTGAGCTGCGGGAAGTTGACCGGGCGCTCCAGGACCTGGACCACGTGATCCAGGAGGGAGCAGGGGACGGGGACCTGGCCAGGCAAGCCGAGGACTTCAGCTCCCGGGGCCGCCTGCTGCTGAGCCTGGGCGACGAGGAGGGCGCCACAGGGGCCTTCGCCCAGGCCCTCGAGCTGTCACCGGCCCTGGCCCAGAGCCGCCTGTGGGCGCAGCCAGGCCAGGCCCCTACGGCCAGCATGTTCCTGCGTCTGGGCCAGTGCTGCCTGGAGGAGAAGCGCTACGGGGAGGCCCTGACAGTCGCCCAGAGTGGCCTCTTGGTGAACCCCCACCACGGCGGCCTGAGGAGGCTGAAGGCTCGAACCCAGAGGGAAACAGCCTCCGGCTGCCGGCTGCTCTGACCAGCACTGCCCTCTCCCAGGCCCCCTCCCTAGGCACCTGCCTTTCTCACCCGGGAGCGCCCCAGCTGCCTGAACCAGTGCCCTGCCACCTGCCCGGCTCTCAGGTGGCCTCCCACCTTCACGGAGGTGGCAGCCTCCCACCAAGCTCAGGTCCCTTGGCAAACAGCTGGGGCTCTGGCCTCCACGCGGCCTCAGGTCTGGTCCTCGGCTTGGGATCTGCAGGTTTCCCTGCTCCACCTTCACTTCCTTCCTGATTTTCCAGGGTTTCCCACCGTGTCCTTGCCATGTTGCTCCCTGCCCAGCCATCCCATCCATCGGTCGGTCTGTCCATCTGTCCACTCACTGGCTCAACAAATATTTGCACCCCAGCTGGGGTGGACCAGGCTCAGGAGTTCTAGAAGCCCCAGGGGTGGCAGCAGGCACCTCTGCTCCCACGGTCCTCCCAACCTGGGGCCTCCTGCCCCATCTGTTCATTGAGGACATCTCAGAGTTGGTGACACCAAGCACGGAGTGTGCATGTACCTAAATCCAGGGGGACCCCCGCAGCCCACTCCTGCTTTCCCCCAGCCCCGCAGGGGTAGCCCCTACATGCCCCGGTTCACCTCACAGGGTCTCAGTCCGTCTTGCTTGCCTGGCACCTTGGTATGGCCTGAGTGTCCCAGAGTTCATCAGCTGAGGCCCTAAGCCCCCCTGGGATGGCGCCAGGAGGTGGGCCCTGGGGAGTGGACCGATGCCCTTATTCAAAGAAACACGGCCTGAAGCCCCCCACCCCTTCCCACATGAGGACAGCGGGAGGCAACTCTGAGCCAGGTCCTCCCCTGAATTGCTGGCACCTTGACCTTGCACTCCCACCCTCCAGAGCTGTGAGAAACACGTTTCACCAGTTGCTCAGCCGTAGGCTGTGTTTCTCATGCTGTCCTGAACATGCTGAGACACCCCTGCTCCTCCACCCACACCACCCTGAGAGCAGGCTGCTGGCCCCTGAGGACTAGGCCGAGTCTTGGTTCCTGTGGGGCCCCAGCCCAGGCTTTACGCAGGGAGGGGGCTGCTCCAGGCCTGAGCAGCCCACAGCCAATCTGAGACTTGGGCTGAGGACCGGGAAGCCAGCATGTGTCCCCCAGGTCTGGGCCTGCTGCCTGGGGGCTTCTCCAGCATTTCAGTCCACCCTCCTCCCTGGCGACCCCTGACCTGGTCCCAGCCCCTCACTGCTCAGCTGGAGGCTGAGACAGGCCTGAATGTGCCCTCCCAGGGCTGCCCAGTTCAGCTCTTCCTTTACTCGGGACTTCTGCCCTCGCCACATCACTAACTCTAGACCCCCAGGGAGTCCAGGTTTCACCCCCTCCAGTGACCACAGCTGATGCAGACGACTTGGAATCCCTGTGAGGACACCCACTCAGCAAAGCCGGTGCGTCAGGTGGCCCGCTGCCCTTCGTCCCCAGGTCTCAGTGTGAGTCCTGGAGTCTGGCGAGTCCCTGGGTACTGAGCCTTTTCCTCCTGGGCCCACCATTGTTCTTTGTACACACCCAGGGGGGTGCCATGGCCTGACCCTCGTGTGGGTCCAGAGCTGCCGGGTGGTGGTGAAGGACTAGGCAGAGCCCAGGGGACCCCTCAGCCAGTGCAGTCACCATCACTGCCATCAGCCCAGTGCAGCAGTGCTGGGCTCCCAGGCCCTGACCCGGCTGGCGCTTCACGACCAACACGGTGACAGCTCCAGCTGTGAGAAGCCCCAGCTCCGCCCTCCTGGCTCCCAATTCCCACTGCAAGGAGCTCACCCTGCAGTCAGGCCCCGGGGCAGCAGGCTAATGCCACCAGACCGCAGGGCCCTGGGACAGCAGGATGACACCACCACCCCATCCTGGAGGGCCCTGGGACAACAGATCAAAGTCACCCCATCCTGGAGGGCCCTGGACAGCAGGATGGTGCCACCCCTCCTGGAGGGCCCTGGGTCAGCAGGCCAAAGTCACCCCATCCTGGAGGGTCCCAGGTCAGCAGGATGACACCACCCCTCCTGGAGGGCCCTGGGACAGCAGGTCAAAGTCACCCCATTCTGGAGGGCCCCGGGTCAGCAGGTCAAAGTCACCCCATCCTGGAGGGCCCCGGGTCAGCAGGCCAACGCCACCCCTCCTGGAGGGCCTCGGGTCAGCAGGTCAAAGTCACCTTCCTGGAGGTGCCTCAGGGCCACTCTGGCACCAGTGTTTGGACCAGCAGAGCCCCGGGGGAGGTGGAAAGCATTGGTGGCTCCAGTAGCAGTGACTCACTGTGAAGGGCTGTTGGGTGGCTGTGGTCCTTGGCCTGGTGACTGGGGGAAATAAACACTGGGGATCAAGGGAGGAGTGACGGCCAAATTGAGAGACGGAGCCTGCCACTCAAACATGGCAGCCATGGCCCCCACTCCAGCTCAGGTGGCCGGGCCCCTCTCAGGTAGGCTGGACCACGTTCTCTCCTGCACCTATGACACACCCACAAGCCCCTTCTCACAGGACGCGGCCGGAGACCCTGGCTATGGAGGCTGGGCCAATGGTTCCATGAGGGGGACCCCAGGCAGGGCAAGACCACAAGGATCCTGTCCCAGCACCCCGAGGGCCCAGACCCAGAGGACACTCCTGTGGATGCTGGGCTGTGCCAGGGTACAGGACCTGCCCGTCTAAGAACCCGGAGACGGGGAGGGCGGGGCCAGGGTGGCCCCCACCGCAGTGGAGAGGCCTATCTCTAGACATGGGCTGGTCCCAGGACTAAAGTGGGGAGGGGCGGCACCTCTGCAGAGGGTCCCTGCTTTGCCCTGACCTCCTCTAAGAGAGAGGGTTGGGACACATCCTGCAGGGCTGTGCGGCTGGGGGTGGCGCTCTGGCAGGACCGCCTGGCATCCGGGTTCAAATGGAGGCTCCCCGCTACGGCTGATCTGCAGCCCCTCGGCTTGGCCAGCTTCTCCTGGCTACCAGGTGCCCAGATAGGACCGGGGCCTCTTGAGCACCTCCAGACTGGGGAAAACCAGGAACCAGGGCACCCCCAGAGGTGATCCGGCCTTTGAGCCCCAGGTCTCCAGGTGGCCTCCGGCAAGGGGCCAGGGGCCAGGGCTGCTCTGAGTAGACTGTGGTGACCAGCCTGGGCGTCAGGAAGGGAGTGTGCAGAGCCGGCCCTGGGGCCCAGGAGGCCTTGCTGAGAGTGGGGACGCAGCCTTTCCCATCCTCTGAGGTTCTTCAGCTTGGGGACCAGAGGCTCCATGACCTTCCAAAAGGGTCTGCTGTTGTCAGGGTGTGGAAAGAGTCTCCACAGGACTCTGGCTACCCCAAGGTGGTCACACTCTGGGGGGGAGTCCAGCCAGCCTGGGTAGATCCTGGCCCTTCCCAGCTCCCCACTAGGCTGACCTGGACCTGTTCCCATTTAGGCCAGCAGTCCAGGTGGCCACAAGGCTGACTGCAGCTCCTGACTCTGGGTTGGCTTCTGCCTGGAGCAGGGGGCTTCAGAGACAGCCAGGGAGCTGAGTTGGGGCCCCTCCCAAGCGTCAGGGAGGTGGGGATGGGGTCTGAACCCAGCCCAATCTGCAGCTGGAGGTGGCCCTCCTCCCAGCGCATGGCCCTCAAGGGCCATCTGAATGTGTACCGGAAGCTCCAACTCCACCAGCGTGGGCATTGTGGTAAAGGGTAGCCTTGAGGGACTGTCTGCTCAGGACCCTGGCTATGTGACCTGGCCCTCACAGAGGCCAAGGGCTCCTGGGATTTTGAAATGGAAGCTGGTCACCAGTGGGGCCTGGAGAAGGGAAAGCCTGGGTCCCCACTGGGCCTCTGTGCTCAGAGACCCCCCATCAACAAGCAGAGCTGGGTCCCTGGTCCATGCTTTGAAGCCATGAAAGACCGCCACAGGCCTGTTTTGAAGCCCTCTGGCCCAAGAGGGCCTCCTGGACCCTGGGTTGGATCTGAACCTGACAGTCCCCAGCGCGCAGTCGGAACCCACCACCCTATCAGAGACTGAAGGGAAAGGACACCGGGGAGGTGGCTGCAAAGCCCTCACCAGCAGCTGGGGACAGAAAACCCTGGCCAGCATCTTTGGCACAGGCAGGAGGAGAGGGCAGAGGGCCTGGCTTTCTTGCCCAACAACTCAGTGGACTGAAGGGTCAAGAGATAGGAGCGAGGAAAGAGAGGGACTTGGGAGGCCAGGGCCAGAGGAGCCAGAGGCCCGGGGCAGCCATGCCCCTCAGCAAGGGACCCAGCAGCCTGGGCTGCATCGGCCCCTCCCCCACCCCAGACCCCCTGGAACTCCCCACCTCGGAACTGCTTCAGGGGCCATCCTGCATCACAAAGGACCCCAGGAAGTTGCTCAGTGTGACCTCCCAGCGTGGCCCCACCTGACCTGCCTTCCTCCACCTGAGCCCACCTGCTTGGCCTGACTCACCCCAGCCCTGGGTGTCCCTGTGCCACTCCGAGTAGAAAGGTGAGGTGCTGTGTGTGTGCCCTGTGGCTGGCTTCCTGGGCGCACCTTGAAGGCCCCTCCCTGTGCCAGCCCAGTTCATGCAGGACAGGCGGGCACTTCCTGTAGGGCTCCACCTGGGCAGCGGCCCCTCTGGCACAGACAGACAGCCTTGCCAGAGGCCCCGTGTCCCCCCATGTGCAGCGGAGGGCCTGGAGCAGGCCATGTGCGGTGGGAGTGAGAGCAGGTCAGACTGCAGGACAGAGGCCAGGATGGGGCTGGGCAGGGCACCCTGTGGCTTCCGCAGCAGGGGACAGGCTGGTTTGGAGGCAGCAGAGACCTCAGAGGAACTCCAGAGGGCATGGGGCACATCGGCACCAAGGTTCTGGCTCAGCCCAGGGGAGGCGCCAGGCAGCACTGGATTTGGGATCCCTGTGGATCGGGGGAGGCTCAGGTGGAACCCAGAGCCAGGAGACTGAGGGGTGCCAGATAAGCTGGCCGTGCAGCCCTCCTGGGGACTGACCTGCATTTCTAAGCCACCCCCCAAGTTGGGCCATTCAGCAGGTGATGCTCAGGTAGGATAAGAGACACATGTG